ATGTACTCTTTAATCTCATATGTCTAATGATTTGAGATAAACAAATGAGCCGTGTCACGACAAAACCAACATAATGGGTTTGCGACCAGCATGGATTTAGACCAGCCTGCGCATCCGCGCAGTCTGATCAGGATCCAAACTGTTCGCTTTTAAACATTTTAATAAGTAGAGAAACTGATAGCGAACAGAATGGATCCTGATCAGACTGCGCGGATGCGCAGGCTGGTCTGGATCCATGCTGGTCGCAAACGCACTATGTTGGTTTTGTCGTGACGCGGCTCAAATTATTGTTCTGTTCCTAAAGTGACACCTGTGAATTTCTTATTATAGAAATAAATCAATTTACATTTCTTTAAAACGTAATAATATTTCCTTATCACGAAAGGTGTTTAGGTAAAAACGTATTACTATTTTGTTTACACGAAATAATATTTTGTTAAACATTCATTTAAAAACGTACTTATATTTCTAAAATCGGACTACTATTTCGCAGAAACGATTTATAATTTCGCAGAACTAAATAACATCGAAAAGTAATGTAAAATTTATATTAATTTGAAATATAAATACCTTGAAAAACTTAATAATATTTCGTTCATAAACTCGTTTTTTACCAACACCATAACGTTTTTCTACGAAATGTTAATACGCTTTTATGAAAAGTTATTTCGTTATTATGAACTATTATTACGTTTTTCACAAATTCAAAAACATTTTTAAAACTGAAGATCTTTTTACAAACCAAAAACGTAATTTCGGAATACATTTAATACACATTCAAAGCAGCTATACGGATGTCACTTTAGTGTCACCAAAGAATAAGTATGAAGGTGTAACTAATTACAGGATTACAGGAATCTACACCTGCTCAGCAGGCAGATGCCCCGCAGCAATCAAATTGAATATTATAGTATTGTCTGTCCACATCCGTCACGTACGAATCAGCACTATGATTTGGTAAAAAGAAGTAACATTAGTGAAATGCCTCGTATCCTAAAAACAGAATATAAGGCAGATGAAGAGGTCTGTCTTTTTTTAACATTTTTTATGTCTGAACAAATTGAACATTTGTATGTTTTAATCATTACTAATCATTACTACATTTCACACAAATTTTCGATAATTTGTTGCAATTGTCAAACTTATACTTGCTGAATTAAAACATTTATAAAGGAAACAATCATGCAAGATGTACACTTAAATCAATATGCAATACCATTTCGGTACACCATAAACATTAATACAACTCTGAAAAAAACAAAAAAAACAAAGCGTAAATACTTTTAAACATACAATTTGAAATGTCTAAATTAAAGCATATCTGTAAAATTGAAAGACTAACCTCCTAATTGTGAAAATATAAATAACAATGTTGTCCAAAACATAGCAGTGTCTATTTCCATTTTGATTTTGAGCAATCTTCAGGAAGTCGTTAGGTTTTATCTTTCAAGAGGTCATACGCAACGCACACTTGATATAACCTAATAAATAGTTTGTAACGATAGATCGACATGTTTTAAACATTCGATTTATCTTTGACCTTTAAATCTTTAGGTTCTACAAGTATTGATCACTACATGTATTTAAATTGATAAAAAACATGAGATTCGAATCAAATCATTCAAAGTGATGCACATTTCTTGAGGAACATTATATATAGAGGTCGGTTGGACAAGACGTAAAATCCCATTATCTCTAGAAGTGTTATTATTTCTTATTTTTTATGTTGTTGTCATTTTATAGTATTTTACAAGTTACTAATTGGCTAATTACATTCATCATCATTTGCTTCGGTTGCCTTTTGGCAATAAGTACAGTTAAAGTGATTTCGATTTTTTGTATGGAAGTCAATATACTACTTTGTTTACATTTTGCTACTAGTATGGCAAACCATTTCACATTCAGCGCTACTTTATACATGTGACAGACGTCTAACATGCACTAAAATTATTATCTTAACGTTATTAAACTAATATTTGCGGTAGCTAAGGTGCTGTCATTTGATTCATTAATATCTGCACGATGTTGTAAAATCCGTGTTGCGTAATGGTTTTCCGAAAATTATTTGAAGAAAAATGAGGAAGATAAAGGATCATTTATCTAATAACAAACGTCAAACTTTCAAGTGTATTGAGATTGTGATAACACTTAAATTCTGTGTAAGTGGCTTTTGTATTTTTCCTTTTAAATCTAATGATTAAAATAAAATTTGTCAAAGATGTTCAGATGTGTTCTGTCATCTTATGCACATCAAATTGTGATTATTATTCTAACTGTCATACACTTGAATAATGTTATGTCTCTGGTAGCCTTATGAGTATGTGTCTCTTAGTCCGTCCAAATATTTTTCCGTCATTTAACGGTTTCGTTCGTTAAATCTTGATATCTTTTAGGGGCAAATTCATGATACGTTATACCACATGCGGAAGTCACATTTTAGACACATGTCTTGAGGCAAAGCTACTATTAAAATAGTATATCAAAAGCTATATTTTTACCTTTGTTTCTATTCAATGCATCATTAAAATGGTATCTATCTATCGTGATAAATATTCTTGCTGAAATATCATCAAGAACGCTTACTACTTGACTTACTTAAGCTCTACTTGAAGATTGTACTTACTAGATTTAAACAATTAATATTTCATACTGGTTTCAGTCGGGCGTGATAAGGTAAAACATCTGCGACCCATCTTTTGTTTATTGTGATTCATTGTCAGATATATCAATATTTGACCAACTTATTGTAGTGCATTGACTTTGTTACAACAACTGTATGAGAAAAAGATTTGATCTTTTAACATGAAGCAGGAGATACAATTGAAATGAAAGAAAAGAATGAACATGATAGTAATACATGTTTGGTTTACTATTGCTGAGTGAACCAGATGATAACAATGCCTTTGCCACTTTATCCTTAGTCTGTAACAAGATAGCGACCTTCTTCACCGCCCTTGATTTCCTTCTTCTAGTACTGTTTTCTTATTATTGCCTAGATGATGATGAGATTCACCATGTTAAAACATTTATCACCGATAAAAAAAAATGACTTTGTTGCAGGCATATTAGAAACAGCTGGAATCATGTATAATCTAGCGATAAAAAAGAATATATTGACTGTGTTAAATGCTGTATTCTGTTTAGATGATGCTAGTAAATGGCACACATCATCTTTGTTCTTTATCTTTGTTTGTATTGGACTAGAATTGCTTTGCCTCGAAAATTATGCTATGAACATTAAAATAAAATATTCTTTTGTTTATTTACATTTCAGAAATATTTGTTAAAATCTCGCGTTGATAAAGGTTGTTTTGTTCACGTAGTCTTGACTGGTTGTTTTAAATTTTTTAAATAATTGTAATGGCTCTGATCGTTAGGACGATGTCTTGACAATATTGCATACGATCTGTCTGATATACTGTAAGATCTTTCCACACGAACGATACGATATAGATAAACGTTTTTTAAAAAGGGTTTATAACTCTACAAGGGCTCTAATACACATACTTTTATTTGGTATTTTAATTACGTACTGTTATTTTCTATTTTTGTGCTGTTGTTGTTCTGTAAAAATGAGTTACAGTATTATATGTCCCACAGATGTTCTGAATAAGAAATTGATCACTAAATCGACTTTTGTGCAGAGTGAACAAGATGTGTTATCTTGTAAAGGGATAGATTGACCTGATAAAGTATGTTGTAAATTCAATAAATAAGTTTAAAGGTTTTCTACAGGGTTTTATTTCATCACGATATATTTAAATGCTATGTTTATATATAATGCAAATGACGTCACGACAACGTGTTATATAATCTTTATAAACTGGCATTATTACACTTCCGCGCCGCGTTTTATTTGATATAATGGAATTTGGAACATCTGTTTCGCACTATATAAGCGGCTTAAACGGTATTCGAACATAATCACTATAATGATAAGGACAAATCACACCGAAATATAAAGGTACCTTACATATGGTATACTTTTTATTTATCATAAGCTTTTCATAATTAGTATTAGAATCTTTTTTTGTCCCACAATACTACACAAATTCTGGAAGAAAAAATCAAACAGAAAATGTTCTGCACATCTATACCAGAAGCGGAATTCTTGCACTGGGAACTGTCACTTTGATTTAAATTATAAAGTTAAAACTAAAAATATCTACGGTTTTCTATTTACAGCTTAATTTTTAAAATAACCTATGACATTGAACGGCGAATTTAAAAATGAAATAAAAAAAACGAGGACACAAGTTTTATACTTTACAATTCTAACATGACTCGTGTTTTTTCTACTATACACAAAGCAGAATATAACCAGTGTTACACTATCAATAAGCACTGTTCAGTTCTAAACTGCCGATAGATACTGTCCTCAAACAACATGCATTTGTAGAATATTGATACAAAAGATTAGTAAAACATATTCATTCTTTGAAAAAACACAAACAAAAAGATGGCCACTATAGTCAACTCGGCGCGTGTCGATGACGTCGTCAACGAACGTTGTCATGTTGTTGATTTGAAATATAAATTTTCAAATGAAGTGAAATTTTGTAAAATCGTCATTCGCATATTATACTTTGTCGACTCTTTGGTACACGCTTTTCACACTTTTGTCTCTGTTTTATTAAATCATATGGAACTAACACATGTCGCAAAACCCGCGTGTGCAATATATGCGTTAACACGAGGCCCGCTTACAATATTTGCTTAGCATGCATTTTGTTTACCTTATGAAATGAATATTAAGATTTAAAACTGTATGATTGACTATATCTTAACCGCCTCAGTTTAAGCAAAAGCAAATGTTACTATTATATATAAAAACGTTATTAAAGGTTCATCTCTCGTTTATCAATTACTAAACATGAGGAAAAATCAAGACAATTTGTATGAAAAATATTCAAGGTAAATTATAAAAGAAATATTACTTATTTAATATATGGGAAGCTGTCGAACTTTATTGTCATTTGCAATTGTATGTTCAAATACTCTGTTTACCAATTTACATGAATATGAAAATTAGAGATCAAACAAAACAAGACATAATTTGTTATTAGTGTCATTTTAAACTATAGGATGGAATTTTACACACACAAAAAACAGATCGATTATAATACTTCTCTAAGATATTGAAATAATCACAATCTGATAATAAATTACACAAACAAAACTTGTTATCAGTTATCTCCTAGTTTTACATAAATCAGGTAATTGACAACAATTTCGGCAAAAGGAAGTATTTTAGCAGTTTAATCATTTTACGTTACATTCTTTCATGTCTAGGAAAGCTATTTTAATAATAAATAGGATAAATAAAGCAAGTTTAACATAAGGGTTGAAAGTGAAAACATATCAAATAGGATAAAATAAATATATAAACATATCAGCTTTGAAATATCTTAGAGTTCAAACGTTCATTTTCATTTTAAGTTATTGACTGGGAGTGAAAAATACATATTACGACATATTTGACTGTTTAAAACGGTCGACTAAATTTTAAAAGTTATTGTCTTTGTTTAATATCTTATTGATGTTACAAATATTGAATACAATTGAGATTAAAGATTGATCAAGTTAGCCAATTTAAGCTCAAAGGAAAACTGGATTTGTAGAAGTTTCATTTCATTTCAAACAAGCAAAATAATGAGCTTTGAAATTTGAAGTAAACCCTTTCATGATTTAAATAATCATTAATTTAGATAAAAAATTTACTGATGTCCATGAGACACACTTTGCCCATCGTTATGTACGACATTGACTATCATTCCCCTGTAATATTACATTTGCTGTAAACAAATTCAGATTGCAAAACGTCTAGATTGTTCATTAGCAATTCATGACTTGTAACAAAAACATTAAACGTATCTGTTACAAGCTGGATTAACCCGTTCATGTCAATATCTTCTCCACTGCCAACGGCAACAATATTTACTCCGTCGGCTTCTAGCATAGATTTCTCACTTTCAAAAGTGCTTTTGCTGTTCACACGAGCTTTACCATTAGTGAAAATTAGGAGAAATTTCTTTGCAATCCTCATTGAAAATGTATTGTTAAAAATTTTATCCCTGACATATGCAAAAACGGTTTCAAGATGTAATTGTGCTTGATGTTCATCAGGCGACTTTGAGACCATGTTAACCTTACTTTTAATGACATTTTTGTTGAACGTCTCTCCCATATTCATTATACTTTTGATGTCATCAGAAAATGTGGTCACACTAACATGCGTACCATTTACGTTTAAATGATTCATAGTGTCAATTATATGCATAATAGCGTCAACCATTAAAGTGAACTGTTCTGCTGTTATATAATAGGATGAATCTAAAACGATAGCTACGTCTGTCGCCGTGCTTGTTTCACATTCTGAAAAGATATATAAACTAAAATAAAAACATTAGTCTTGTGAATGTCAAAATTGTATTTAAACTGCATACATTTTGACAAAAGCAAAATATTATGTCAAGATAATAAGATTATTTTGTTAGTCAATCAAGATAAGGTATGACATGAATAAATTTGTCAGCATAAAACAAATTAAAAAATGCTTACCATCACATAACTGGACCAATTGTCTAAGAATGGTGTACAAAGAGTTGAAATTTTTAACAGAGTAAACAAACGATGGATCGGAGGCAATGTCCAAAAGTTCTTGATGTAAAACTTCGTTTCCTATTCCTGAAATAAGATATTTAAAATTGGCATAAGGCATACAAAAGTGAAGATAATGATAATTTTTATATGAATTCTCGATAAGACTCATTTCAGATGATTATTTTTGTTGTTGTGTGTGGTTTTTGGTCATTTTTATTTTTCAAAGCAGAAGTTAAGAAACAGTTTAACTGACATAGAGATCTTTTATTCTTATATTTTTGCTACATTTTTTCTTACCAATGACTGCAATTGTATCCACATATTTCTTCATTTCACTGGCCTCGGCTCTTGTGTCGGCCCTGTTTATAGACATGCCGTCTGTAAGGACATAAACAAATCTCGCAGCTTTTGTACCATTTTTGCGTATTCCGATGCCATTACCTGCCGTGAATACTTCTGTTCTAACCTAGTGAAATATTTATGATCAATTGGAGATAAAATATAAAGATATGTACATACAAAATTGTAAGAAATAATTTGGCGCATACATTTTTATTGTTTTCATTTGGGTGCATGATAATTAAGTTAAATTCCATTATTAGTATGATTGAAAATGGAATCGATTTATTAAATAATATAACCATTTCACCAAATTATGTATTTACCGCTTTCAGGCCTTTGTCAGTACGCGTTGTCCCACGTCTATACTTGACTTTCGTTATAGCGTTATGAAGTGAAATGTTGTCTTTATACTGGTTAAGATAGAACTCTACATGAGCATCAGTTGAGAATGTAACTACACTAATCTGGAAGTCGTGTGGTCCAATAGGAACTTTACTGCTAAAATTAGCAACAAATTGCAGCTGTTTCTTAAATTCTCGCTCTGTCATGCTCACTGATGAATCTAAAACAAAGACGACGTCTGCTGGAGTAGGATGACAGATATCTGTAAAATATAGACACAGACTATTACAATACAAAAGACGATTTCTGCCGGAGTAGGGTGACAAATATCTGTAAAATATTGATATACATTGTTACAATACAAGAGACGTCTTCTGACGGAGTAGGATGACAGATGTTTGTATAATATAAGCATAGATTTTTACAATATTTTGTAAAGAGGAATTGGCTCGATAGGCATAAATATTTTCAATAAAACTATATTTGTAACTATTTATATATGTATTTATCTACCGTTTAACGCCGTTATTGGTGTACTTGAAGTTTATCTATCCGAAATACTCAGTATTTTATCTTTCTTTCACTTAAACAATTCCAACAACTTTATGATTTAATTTAAAATTCAATGACATGAAAACTACAGTTAACATTTAAAAATGGTTTATAATCAAATGAAATTTGACAATTTAAGGTATTTTACGGGTTTTTTTCTTACTTGTGTCACACAATACCCCATACAGTCTTGGAGGACAAACGCAATGGAATCCATTGACCCTATCTATACAAGTAGCGCCGTTAAGGCACGGGGAACTTGCGCATTCATTTATATCTAAAATTACAACAGAAATATGTTCATTAGAAATAATTGCTTTAATGATTAATTTATTTACCTAGTTTTAAAGATTCATCATAATTATATAAAAATATAATGTTGATTTAAAAACGGAATACGGAAAATAAATAGGATACTAGTATTCTGTAGGTATAGTTGTTACAAATCAAATCTAATGACAGCTAATTAAAATGAAACAGTATTTATGTAAAATCAATTGTGTCTTATTAAACAATGAAATACACATTAGAACAGATATAACAGAAGTTCGCTATTTTCAATTTCATTTTCCCTGAAATGAACGGGGGTTGTAAGGAAAGTTTGGCGAAATAATGTCATAGAACTATCATTAGAAATATTTCATATTTATATTTTGTCAACGTGACAAGTTTGCACAAAATCGATCTATACACATTCCACTTGATTTGTTAAAATCTTCGAATAACCAAGAAAACATTGTTTTCGTATTAGATCTACATGTACAATTATCACGATTTTAACAAAATGATATAAAAATTAATGATATTTGTTCAACAAAATAATTACAAATTATTAATATAACTTTACGAAATTAAAAGCGTCTCACGAATGTCACATTATATGCAATATTGCTTAAAAAAATGTCAAGCATACACTATTTTCTGAAATGAATATTATCATATTTGTAACATGTTTCTTAAAAATAATTCAGCTTTCAACCTAATATTTTCTTTCCATGCATTATTATACTACAACGCAAGAAACAATACACCGCCTAATCTTTTCTTTCCAAGCATTTTTATACTACAACGCAAGAAACAATATTTTTTTCCTGATGGTGTTGTGAGCATTCTTTTATATGCCGTGCATAAATCGTAAAAAAAAACAAACAAAAAAAACATGTTTATTAACACTGTCTAATAGACATCATCTGTATCACTATTGATCTATTTTAATTCATGTACCAGCTTTATTTATTACATAAATATTTGTTTCTACATGCTATCATATTTTTGCCGCTAAACGCCACAACGTTTTTCGCGCGTTTAACGCGTGTTCCGTTATGACGTCGCTTCCGGTATTTTTTTTGTTTTGCACTGATGAAGGCATATAGCCGAAACGTATGCAATAAAAATTAATTACTGAATGTTCGTGTTTGTGTGGATTGTCTGTTTATTTTAGTGCATAAATCGTGTAATACTGCATTCGACTGTCCTATACGTATAATGGGGGAAAATAATGTGAAGTTTGTTAGAATATTAGTTAAACAAGTTGCTGACGTGATTTACAAGATGTAAGCAATTGTAAAATAGAAGATATCAAATGTGTGTAGGTTTAGTACTTAATTTATTGAACGAGTTTAACAAAATCATATGTAATAGCCTGGTGAGTATAAAATTGTTTTATTCAGCGACTTCAATAAATTAAGTATTGAATCAGTTCAATAAATTAAGTATTAAATCTATAGGAAGATAATATTCTATTTTATTATGATCGCATATTCAGTTTGCATTGACGCGTTTATAGTGTTACGCTGAGATTAAAATACACTCATGTGCCGAATATATAATATGGCAAACTTTTATTTACGACAAGTTCATATGAAAACCTAGCAAAATTAGACTGTTTTCAAAGAAACTCGGGAAAAGGCAAATAAGATAACGTCAGACGTTCATCGCAATAAAAGGTATTTCAAACATAAAGTCATCATACATGTGTCATAGCGGTAAAACTTTTAACTTATTTTTTTTATTTTTGAGATAATGACAATTAAAACGAGAAATATGCCATCAAGAAAAACAACGCAGTAATAAATTATGAGCACATGCGTGGGTTACCATCTTGGATGTAGAAAGATAATGTTACTTGTGTGCGTTTAAGTTCTTCACGGTATATACTGCATCGTATACAACAATTTTAATTCAATCAGAATTCGAGAAATTTATTTGAATTAAATATATAATACAGTTTACCAATTTCGCAATAGTGCCCTGTAAATACTGGTCTGCATTTACATCCGCCATTGTGCAGGCATGTACCGCTATTTAGGCAGGTTACCTCAGATATCTGAAACATCAATCACATAATGATAACATATCCTTTCTACAAAAACTGTTGAATACCTAAATACATATTTTGTTATCATCATGATTGTTAAGTATTCACTTTACATGGTTCAATATCTACTTCTTTAAAATTATGATCAATACCGTAAAACGTAGAAATAAACATGTATATATGCGGCCCCTAAAGTGACACCCGTGAACCTTTTTTAGTCGAAAAAAAAAACACAACAAAATAAACATTTCGTTAAAACGTAATAATATTCTTATTACTTTTATTTGTACAAACGAAATAATATTTTGTCGAAACAAACTACTAATTATGTTTCGTAGAACGTACTATGATTTCACAGAAACGAATTTCGAAAAATAACTTAAATTTTTTTATAAATTTAAATGTAAATACCTTGAAAAAACGTAATTAAACTCGTTTGTTCGAATCAACAAATTATTGTTACCTAATGTTATATCATTTAAACGAAACACCATAACGTTTTTCTGCGAAATATTATAACCTTCTAAGGAAAGGTTATTTCGTTTTTAGGAACTATTATTACTTTTTTACGAATTCAAAAACATTTATAAAATGATTTTTCTTTGCTTTTTACGGAAGAAAATCGTAATTTCGAAACATTTTTTATACGAATTCAAAACAGTTATATGTGAGGAAGCTATCCAGCTAGCTTACGGAACGTCGGTGGTTCTACTCAGGTGCCCGTTCGAGCCTGAAATAATGCACGGAAGGGTACCTGAGGTCTTCCTCTACCAGTAAAGCTGGAACGTCGCCAAATGACCTATACTGTGTCGGTGTGACGTAAAACCCAAACAGACAAAACAGTTATACGTATGTCATGTTAGTGTCACCGTAGAATAAATATGAAGGTGTAACTAGTTACAGGACAGGGAGATGTCTCTTCATAGCAGTCACTTTTCGTTTCAGGCCCTCTACAGCAATACGTAGAAGGTCTCCATGTATCCGACAAGAACGTAACAGCACTATGCTTTGGTAATGAGAAGTAACATTTGTGAGATGCCTCGTATCCTAGAAACAGAACTAACACGCTGTAGACATATGTCTGTACATCTATTTTTCTATATCTTTTAATGTCTGATCAAATTGAACCTCTGTATGTTTAAATCACTACTAAACAGAACTACATTAACAAAATATTCGATTGTTGTTGCAATTTTCAAACCAATTTCTGAATTAAAACACTTCGTAAGAAAATATTCGTGCAAAATATGCACTTACATCAATCTGCACTACCAAAAACAACGATCCACATAATCATTAATACAACTCTGAAAAACAACAAAGCGTAAACATTTTAAAATACAAAATCTGGAAATGTCTTAATTAAGGTATATCTGTAAAATTGAAAGACCAACCTCCAAATTGTGAAAATATAAAGAACAATATAGTCCAAAACATGGCTGTGACTATTTCCATTTTGATTTAAGAGCAGTCTTAATGAAAGCGATAGTATTTATCTTTCAAGAGGTCATACGTAACGCACACTTGATATTAACCTAATGTATAGTTTTCAATGATAGATCGACATTTTTTAAACATTCGATTTATCTTTGACCTATTTGTCTTTGGGTTCTACAAGTATTAATCACTACATGTATTTAAATTGATAACACATATGATATTGAAATAGAAGAGTTCACGAAATACAGTCGTCGCATTGGGACCGAAAAGAAATGGTGTAAACAGCGGAAAAGGAAGGGGCATTATTATTACAATCAGAAAGACCCTTATAATCTCATTTCAAGTGATGGGCATTACTGGAGGAACATTAAAGAGGCCGGTTGGACAAGACGTAAAGTCCCATTATCCCTAGAAGTGCTATTATTTCTTCTTTTTTTTCATTTTGTTGTCCTTTAATAGTTTCTATCAAGTTACTCATTGGCTAATTACCTGAATTATCTTTTGCTTCTGTTGCCTTTTGGCAATAAGTAGTTACTGTGGTTTGTTTTTATATGGAAGTCAAAATACTACTTTGATTACATTTTGCTACTAGTACGGAAAAACAATTTCACATCCAGCGCTACTTTATCCATGTGATAAACATCTAACATGCTCATAAGGTATTATTTAAACGTTATTAAACTTATATTTGCGGATTCTAAAGACGAAAAAAAATCATTTGTTTTGCAGCATAATGTGCCTTTAATTAGAAGTTGGGGTAAAAGTTACCTAGACGTCGATACACATGTCACAGATTCTTATCTAAACGAAACAATCAAGGACATATTAGATGCACAAAACGTAAAGCTGTTACTTTATTAAGACATACAGCAAGGACCGCAGGTACACCGCCTTCAAATGTTGGATACAACTAATGGTGAGTAATATTCAACAAATAAATGAACGTATCTATGTAGCAATAATAAAATTATTTTCATCTTGATTCTAGTGAATTCATTCTACAACTATTGTTATGTCACCTTTTCAGTCCTAGTACACAGGTTTACTCTATAGATAAAAAAAACTTGGCTGTAGACTAAATCGTTAAGCTGACTTGATAAGGTGCTGTTATTTAATCATTAATACCTGCACAATGTTGGAAATCCGTGTTGCGTAATGGTTGTCCGAAAATGATTTGAAGAAAAATGAGAAAGATAATAGATTATTTATCTATTAACAAATGTCAAACCGTCAAGAGTAGTGAGATTGTGATAACACTTAAATTTTGTGTAAGTGGCTTTTTGTATTTTTCCTTGTAATTTAAAATCTAATGATTAAAATAAAATATTTCAAAGTTGTTCAGATGTTTTCTGTCATCTTATGTAATTCTAACTGCCATACACTTGAACAATGTTATGTCTCTGGTAGCCTTTTGACTATGTGTCTCCTAGTACGTCCGACTATTTTTCCGTTAGTTAGCGGTTTCGTTCGTCATCTATGGATTCCTTTTCGGAGCATATTCATAATACTTAATTCAAATGTAAAGTACCACATGCAGTTGTCACATTTTAGGCACATGACTTGAGGCAAAGTCACTATTGTATATCAAAGGTTAGAGCTATATGTTTACTGTTCGTTTCTATTCCATGTATCAGGAAAATGGTATTTATCAAACGTGATAAATATTCTTGCTGAAATATCGTCAAGAACACTTACTACTTGAAGATTTCGCTTATTAGATCTCAACAATTTGAATGTCATACTAGTTTTCTTTCTGCATCTGCGACCCACCTTTTGTTATTTGTTGTGATTTATCAGATATATCAATATTTGACCAACTTATTGTATATTATATTTGTGTTATTTTATTCAAAATAGCGTAATTCTTAACACTTAACTTGGCATAACTATATAATCATCTTTTGTAAATAATAATATAAACGTTTTAGTTTTTCAGCTTTTATATTGCAATTCTATAACACTTCCTTTGAATGTAATTATATTACCAGACACATGTGTCTGCTTATCTTGCAAGAGGTTCAAGTCCTTGATCAAGATGGAATGAACACAAATGCAACGCTCCGTCGACTGCCAAGAAGGGATCTTGCACATAGACTGTCTGGAGAGCACAGTTTAGCTGATTATGTTACTTTTACATATTTTGATTATTTATCTTTATACACGCATGTTGTAATCATGTAATGTAGTTTATCAGTCAGTTTTAAAAGTTTTTCACAGCTTGTGTTATCATATGTAGTTATACCCGACTTTATAAAATAAGTATTACTTGACGTGACTAGTTCTTCTCTTTCCTTTTTTGTCTAAAGTGTCATTTTCGTAGTGATATACCTTCTTCAAATACCTAGTGTAAGAACTGGTGCCTCTTTAACTGCTAAAATAGTGATTATGAATTGCTTATGAATGTCCAATGGTGGTTCTGTTATCGTTCTATTATCGCCCCTTCTTTTTGTTCGAATTCCCTCTCTCGCTTTTGTGTCAGTTTCTATAATGCACCACGCACCGTGTTAAGATTCCCATTTCATGTTTCCATTTCTTTCTGATTGCCTTATAAGTAGTGTTTAAATCTTTCTCTTTTCCTGTTTTTGCCCTGCTTAGTTTCCTAAAGAGGCTGTTCTTTGTATCATTCCAGTGTGCCACCTGTTTGACTGAACATTATTTCGTCTGTGAACGTTCCTTTCCTTTCTTATTCTCCATCTCGTATTACGTGTGTTATGGCAGGATTTTTACTTTACTTTCAGGTACACAAAATGGAAAACAGATGTTGCTCTGCGTTTCTGTGGCTTTTTGGAGTAGGTCTTTTTGTTACAAGTGTTGTATTTGACTGGATTAACTTCGTCGAACTACGTAAAAACGATGAAGAAATTGAATCAACGGGGAAAAAGCCCTGCGACTTTGCCCTTAATAAATATCATTGGATTTTCATGGCATCTGTGATAAGTAAAATGTTCTTCGGCATTCTAGAGTATATATTTAGTGCACTTTCATTGTGTGAACAAAATGATGACAACAGTATGATGGACACCATTTCCCTGTTTTTCAACGTGATAACAACCGTTTGCCAAGCTCTAGATTTACTGCTGTTAGTTCTGTTTTCATATTATTGCCTAGGTGATGACCAGATACACCACGTCGTCAAAGCATTTATCAGTGATGCAAAAGATGATTTCCTTGCAGGTGTATTAGGAACAGCTGGTATTATTTTCAATCTAGCGATCAAAAAGAACATTTTGACTGTGTTTAAATCCATATGCTGCTCAAATCATTCCGGTAAATGTCACAAAAGGTTATCATGTACATCTTTGTTCTTTGTACTTGTTTGTATAGGGCTAGCAATTGCTTTACTTCTTAAAATCCTTTAAATTTTCACTTTCATGTAGTTTTGACGACCTGTACATCTTTCTTTTTTGTATGTGTTTGTATAGGCCTAGCAATTGCTTTGCTTCTTAAAATCCTTTAAATTTTCACTTTCATGTACTTTTGTCGACCTGTACATCTTTGTTTCTAGCCTTTGTTTAAGGCTAGAAACTGCTCTGCTTCCTAAAATACTTTGAATTCTTACTTTTATGTAGTCGTTAACGTCATGTACATATTTGTTTATCGTGTTTATTTATAAAGTGCTAACAATTGCGTTTAATTCTTAAAATGCTTTGAATTTTTACTGTTCATGTAGCTGTAACGTTTACTATTTCATTATAATTGTAATTTGATCCTTAGAGGTGTACTTGATGAACATTATCGGAATACTTTCTAAAATCTGTCATTGTTTGTGTAAAATATAGTATAAATTTGTAAAATGCCAGGAATTTTTAATTTGTGCAAAATAGTTTATCTAATGTTATTCTTTTTGTATTTTAATACCCAAGTCGAGTTTACATGGTAATACAAACATTTTTACCAAACAACGTAACATTCAGGCAAGTCTATGTCTTCAAGGCGTATAAACTGTTATGTTATTGCTGTTGTTTTGTTGTTAAAGATATTTTTAAGTGATAAAAACATCAAGATAAATCAAATATGAAATTGATGAAGGGTTGAAAGAACTTTTGACATTGAAATGGTTGATAAATCTCATAAATTATTTTAATGATTTTACAGGATTTCTTTTGAATAAGTTTTATTAATTTATTCATATAGCATCGGGTGATGTTTTCTTTGGTATCTTTTAAATATTTTATAGAAAGATTTATCGTACGATGTTCATTTCTAATAACATGTCGAAATATTTATTACTTTAAGTATTATTGCATTACAAATGGCTCTGTGTTTCTGGGTACTAAATTGGACTGAGTAGTTGTCGTCCTTCGTTGTTGATCTTTCCTTACATTTTGTTATAAATAGAAAAAAATGTGCAAGCGTTTAAACACTTTTAAATCAGTTAATGTAATCATTTTCATACGCCAGAAAAAATGACCTGGACTGTTATACATGGTCTTCCGTCCGTCCGATCGTGCGTCTGGTAACAGTTTTCGTATCTGGTCTGACAATTTAAACTAGTAGTCAGAAATGTTAAATATAATGAGACGATGTGTAGAGTGCAAGTTTGACTTTCAGCAGGTCAAGGTCACACTAGGTAATTTTAAATGAATTTCAAAAATTCGTGCCCGCTTTGCATCTTTTGAAGCGATAAAAAAAGATTAAAACTTGTTTGGGTATTTTTTAATCAAAATTGGCACAGAGGAATACGTATTTAAGTTTCAATGTGTGAAACCTCAATGCCTAGAGTTTTGATATTTAGCATGTATCATTGCCTTAATGCCCTTTACAAAACTGATATGAATTGTGTCCCTTAGTTCAATAATTGCACCGCCCCAGGGGTCACTTGATTGATTTAGACCTAACGAACATATTTGAGACATATTGTGTGAAAGTACGATTATTTTGCATTTGATATCAATTTGTTTGCCACAAAAATAACTGGTATTAATCATGTCCTCAGGCCTCATTTGTCTCTAAGGTAATATACTTTTGAATAGGAAAGTGTACATGGTCATTGAACTGGTAAAAATCAAAATAATATAACTTGATATTTTTGCCATAATTGTGTTCAATTTTGTATTTTAATATGACACAAAAAGTCAATTATCCACCTGATGAAGGGAATTTGATAATGTGTAATCAACAGTTTTCGACATTATCAATTAGTGGTCTACCACCATGACATAAGTCAATCTTTTTAAAAATATATTACTAATTTAAATATACTTGCCAGTGAAATAAAGCGATCCATATGATCCATATGATCCATATTTCATAGTTCATCATTCACTTTAAAGACTTGTGAAAATAACACAGAGAGTCGTATAGAATGAACTGCAAATTTTAACTATAATAATTGTTAAATCAAACAGCTTCCTAATATGTATGAACATGTCAAAATTATCAAGGCATCTTTTAGATGTTTGTTTCTTTGTAGGTATGCCGTTGACCCGTATTTTCGGGGGTTTAATGTTTTAAATTAAAGCCACCGTTTTTAAATTTATAGAAAATGGAAGACAAAAAACATCAACAGTGAGTAAAAACTATGACAAACAAAAAAGGAACCGTTTAAAATACGAAAATAAACTATTTCAGTAAGAAATACTAATCTTTCTACTTTCACTATCGGTAGTCTGTGTCGCTCGGAAGCTGTCTCATATTTTCGGGGATTTTGATTGGATGGCCTCGTTTCGGTAATTACGTTGCGCGCGCACAAATTCTATACTGCACTCAATATATTTCGGGACATTGGTTTAAGTTAGGTATAAGTTCCGGTGATGAATTTTAAGGCGAAGATACGTGTTTTGTTCTTTTTTGTTGCTGTGTAGTTGAAAATAACGTATAGAAATGAGAAAAGAAAAATTATAATTGTAATGACATTGACAGATTTATATTTATGTGTTTAATATGTTTAGTACGAATTCTTATGGTAGTAATTTATAGAAATAAGTGTCGGCGAAAACTTGATGCTTTTTTGGAGAGTCCAATCAATCGCACAAGCTGTCATTCACAACTGGACATGACGCCACGAAAATATGAGAACCCCCGAAAATATGAGAACAAGGCATATGTAATATACAAAATGCAATCAACAGCTGAATATATTCCTTTTTTTTACTTATTTGCTATATATTCAATCTTATCGTTTTCTGCCACTTCATTTTAATATGTGCTTTTTGACAGTAGATATCGTAGTTCAACTTTTAAAACTAGGAGCTTACCCAAATGTTAAGAAAAATAAAAATTGCAAAACAAACTTTATGGCCTTTATGGGCATGGCCACACCGGATGAGACAGACATTTTGAAAAAAGTTTCCAAAAACATACAGACTAGAACACGAAGGGATGCCGCCTTAGAATGGTCCGTAGGAAAACAACTACTTGAATCCTTTAGACAATAATGTCTTACGTTTTATGTAATCAACTGAAGTATAGCACCGGTAGTGTATAGTAGGCACCGTTCTTTTTTATTCAAAATGCATTTGACATGATGCTATTATCATGACTTTGTTTCAAAATAAATGTACAGTTAATTTCAATTTTAATAAATGTAAATAAGAGGAAAATGTGGAAAATGTTAAATATGATGATTATGAAAATCAACAAGTTAAAAGACGCTTTTACGGAAAGCAGTCCGCTTACCATTAAAATAAAAAACAACAACTAAAAACAATTGCACTCAATGTGAAACCGAACGAGCAGGGGTAGACAAACTGTGCTGTAGTCATTCATTACTAGTTTTGACTACATTGACATCGTCAGAAATCAAAAAACGTTTTCAACGTTAGACACAAAAGATAGTTTAAGGTATTAGTTGAAAAAATTTTATATCGTCAAAAGACAGGCATATTTATTTTCTGTAACAATATTAAAACCATATTCTATAAACGTTAACGTCATTATAAAATAATATATACTCTATCCGTCATCAATTCAAGTATAAAAATGGTGTATCGTGGTACATGCTTTGATAAAAAAGTACATGTATATAGTGACATTAAAACCTTGTTGTAAACTTAACTGATTTTTTCAATTAAGACGTCTATCCAATACAAGAAAAAATTATAGTAGTGAACGATCACTGAGGGTAAGATACAGACACAGCAGCAATACAAGTGATATTCAACATTTATCTAAAAATTAACACATTTAAATTACTAAATACAGGAAAAATTCTGTCAAATATTATCGTATTCATACTTATATAAGAAATACTTTTAAATAATAAAAGATGTACGAGATCAATAGGAATTCTTTAAAACAATATAAAATAGGGAAACTGAAACTTAAAAGTTAAATCTAAATGATTATCTTTTAAGGAAAGTGACAGGTTATATGAATTCCATTCTATTTATAACTGTTATCATCCCGGCCTCCAATCTACCTACATATATCACTCTTTTCACACTCTTATAACATTCTGTCACACTCTTCGTCGCCAAGAGAAGGTTTAAATGTCGGTTTGAGTGTTCCATCAGCAGAATACGAGTCCATTAGCCTGTTCCTTGTCATTGGATATATTCATCTCATAAACAGTGTTTAAATTCTTATTATTTTCCCGTCTGTGTCTCGACGTCTATGGCTA